CTTTAGCTTCTTAGCGCTGTACTTTAACTTGCTCCGCCACCAGGGAGGGCCTCAATTTTTTTTATTTAGAAGAGTTCATGAGCAGAGTAGGAATGATATTAGGATTCCTAAGAAATAAAAGGAAAACCCAGAATATTTACCAAAATTGCAGCTTTGAAAGAATATTTAGTGTCAATATATAGCTAGAAAGTTAAATTTAACTGTGTAATGCCACCTTTTAGTTAAATGTATATATTAGGGAAGATGAAAGACTTTTGCGATCTGAAGAAAAACCAGAGTATGTGCATGTATATACTGGCACGGGCACTGGCTTCTCACTCCTCATACTGCTGCTATAGTGGCCTTGAATGCTCATGCATTACTGTTGGCATTAAAATTTGGCACAACCCTCTTGGAAAGTCATTTGCCAGCATATATACAAAGACTGAAGTTTAAAAAACAAAACAAAGACTTAAGTTTTGTTTCAGTGATTCCACTTCCAAGAATCTATCAAAAGGAATTGAGTCAATATATGAAAAATCTGTAAGCATGGACATATACTTTATAACATGTCTAAAGAAACTGAAAATTGGAAGTGATTTGAATGCCTCTCAATAAGGAAGTGATAATAGTTATGATTCACTAAGAAATTGATGTGATGGTAAAGGTGAGTATGAAAACTAGTTAACAGTATGGAAAAGTGCATGACCAAATATTAATGGGGGTAATTGTATAAAAGGATATAATTACAACTATATTAAAAAGGAGTATGAAGAGCTCTTGAATTAAAAGATAATGACTATGAATACATTTGAGTGGATATATTCAGGTAATTTTTTTGCATTTCTGTTCTGCTAAAATTCTTCTTTATATTATTTTGATTAATTTAAAATAAAACAAAATTTTAGTTTGAGAAGGAGAAGCTAGAAGGCTGAGGCACAGTTGTGAAATAGAGAGTTTTGGCGTTCAGGCCCTTGAAAGTCCTTTTCATACAGCAAGTACCCACCCAGAGTAAGGATCAACTATGAAGGCCTTAATAGAAAGGGAAGCAAATTAAAATTCAACTATATACACCTATAAATCATCAGCCCACAGGTCCAACTACGAAGTATTATGGCTGAAGGGGTGTTTAGGGATCACTGAGCACACTTCCACCCCCAATACACAAACACACTTTTACAAAATAGGGAAGTGAAGCTTAGAGAGGTTAAATGACTTGGTTAGAATCACATAACAAATTAATGGCAGGCCTCAACATGAGTCCAGGCCCCTGACTCCTCACTCAATATTCTCTCTCTCTGCTACCAGATCTCAGCTCTAGACAATATAATGAATTTTAGGGAGTCTTAGTGGAAAGGGAGTAAAAATTTTTAATTAAAAATATATATTGTCGG